GAAAACCAAGGCCTATTTCTGAGGTTGGATCGAACTGACTGAAGCCCTGCATTTTCCATTTAACAACAATTAGCAGATGGTATATAAATGTTTCATTGGTTTCATTGGAGCAATGCTGTTGTCCCACCTTTCTCATGTTCTAAAATAGGTCTTGAAGAACTTCATTCTTCTGCAACGTCCAGTAGTGTTACCTTGTACTCTTGGGGAATGTGAGTAACATTCAAAACATTCAAAATAGAAATCTTTTACATATTGACTGTGGTCTAGAGATAATTTTGTGGAAGGATGCTGAAAATCAGAATTTTGACTTTTTGACTTCGGTTTTGGCTGGTTGGGTTTTCACTGGGGCCTCTGGTCAATATAAACTGGAGTCCCTACAGCTTGTGTACAGAGAGGTGAGTCTGCTTAACTTCTTTCCTACCACTTGTAATGAGGCCTGACTAATTAATAATAATTAATTATGATCTGATCCACTGAGATAGTTAACAAAATATTCTGTAAAATTAAGGCGGTTAAACTGGTCTTTACAGAAGTGCTCTGATGAGCCTGAGGAAAGAAAAAAATGCTGCTTATTCCTATAATCTCTTTTCTCTAGAGTAATATTAAGTTCCTATTTCCAGCCTTGCACAGGTGGGAGAGATTTAAAGCTTGAATATGTGATATATAGAAGCTGTTACAAACCGAAGTGTGAAACTTCTGGTCATCCATCGCTTTGACAAAGTGCAGTTCTTCGAGGAAATGATGTACTTGCAGAAGGGAATAGGAGATTTCTCTCTCATTAATGACTTTTTGCTAGAATAAATTATTTTCCAAAGGTGATCGAGGATTCTGAATTTTAAAATAAATGTCAGTGCTCAAGACTAGTTTTTGCTGAGCAGTTTTGGCTCTAAAAGGAATGAGATGTAACGTCACGTCATGCAATTTTTAGTCCGTGGACCTTCTTTTTTTGGTATGAGTTTAAAAACAAATATGTGTTTTTATCCTTGTGAATGCTTCATTTCAGTGGTGGTGCTCAGATTTATTGCATTAATTGTCCATTAATGATTTCAAAATCCCCTCTCACAATGGGTTTGCGTCACAGCTTCCCCTGCCAGCATTATACCCCAAGCTACATGATGTTGCCATTACCAGATCTCTGTGTGGTTTACTTATTAGAAGATCTGAGATACAGAACTCTGTAATTTCTGGTAATTAAGACCAAATTTAATTCCAGGCCATGGTTAAACGTACTGTGGGTGAAGATAAAGAAATCGTGTTGGTAACTGAAATCTCATTCTGGCAGCGTTACCAGTTGCAGATGCCTGTCAGTCTCCTGTAAAATCTGTTTCCCTCTTACTCTGTACTAACAATAACATGGTGCAAGGTAAAAAATCACAAAATAGAAACTTCAGCTCGGTAAGTAAGAAAATAATATAACGAACAGTTCTAATTTGCAGATCAGAGAATCACAGAATCAGAATGGTTTGGGCTGCAAGGGACCTTAAATATCATCTAGTCCCAACCCCCTGTAATCTGTAACACTATTTTATGGTGGGTTTTTTTTAATCCTTCAGAATATTTCCTTTTTCCCCCCATTTTTATTTTAAATGTCCTCCACCTGTTTCCCAAGGAAAATGGAGGTTTTCTCTTATTCATTCCGTCCATTTACTCAATCTCTGAGTTTTGAAGTGGGGTAAATGGTGGTTTATGGATCAAACTAAGTGGTCTCCAGAGGAAAACGTGAGAATGGCAGGATTTGTCTAAAAAATGGGGAAGCCAAAGAGCTATTTTTATCCTTTTAGATAAGCTGAAGTGTCATTTTTGGCCCCTATGATTTGTTGCAGGGAACACCTGATGATGTCAGGTGTTGGTTTTAACTTTTTCAGCCCTTAACATACATACCTTTCTGCCTATGTATTTCTAACTCTTATGTCCTGAAGTGGTATTTAACAAGCTTAACATAAGCATTTGCAATTATCTAATAGCACCTGAAAATTGCTTACTAAATGACAGCAGGAAGTTTCATTTGCATTCCGTATCTGATGTTAAAATCTGCTAATCCTCCCCAGAGTCTGCCAGGAAAAACAATGTAGACAGACTTGAATTTTATTAAAATCAGAAATCAAGCACCCTGCTTCCTACTCATCTATTATATATATATTGCAAGATAAACTTTAAAACCTTCTGGAATATAATAGTTATTTCAGCCATTGTATTCCTCATTGTTTTCTTGAAGTGGGCTTTAGTTACAATTCTTCACAGCCCTTCCCTCTTGGGTTTTCTTCCCTCTCCCCGGGAAAGTGGTGTCTCTGTGTTTGCTCTTGTTTATATAAATTAATCTCCTGTATTGTGACAGTTTTCTCCTTCATTAATGAGAGTTCTTAATTGCACATAATGAAATATTTACTCATGCTACTAGATAATATTATCTGAAAGCACACCAGAGATAAGAGGCTCTGAAGAAAATAAGCGTTTTAAAGATGTTGGATAAGATATGAAAGCCTTTTTTTTTTTTCTTTTTGGCCAATATTTTCCTATTTTATTTGAGAAGGGCTTCTGGTGCAGCTGTGTAACCAAGAGCACGTCAAACCACATCCATTATTTATTGCCCTGGTTGGCAAACAAGGACACCTTTGACTGCGGCAGATCGTGGGGTCGATTCGCTGTGCTTTACACCGATGCAAGGCTTTTTTTTTTTTTTTTTTTTTGTATTTATATTCTCCGAAATTTTCCATTTGGCATGAGCTTCTCTGGGGAAAGCAATAGGAACTTGGTTGGGGGGGGAGCCAGGAGAGAGCTTGAATTTGTAGAAAGCTGGCACAAGCGTAATTGTGCCTTTTATTTGCTTGCCAGGTGCATCAGGTCACATTACAGACCAGGCTCCCTGTAAAGGAGAATTTTCCTCAACCTAGTAGACTCTGCAGAACATATATATAAACATAAAAAAATATACATTTTGCAACTGTTACATATTGAAATGATTCAATACCTTGTCTTCCTGCAGGGTAAAATGGCAAGAATTAAATGCTATTGAGCAGCCCCAAATACTCTGAAATTTGCTACTTGATTAAAACTGGCTTGCCAATTTAAAAGTAACTTGTTTGTGCTATTCAGAGGGGCAAAACCAGAGCTATTTTGCAAGGGGTCCGTGAAGAAGGATGTTGAAAATTTGATGCACAAAGAAGATTTTTCTCCTACTCTTACCAGAAGTGCTCTAGCAGCCTGTAGTGTTAAGGGCTCGAAGGTCAGTGAAAACTGGATCCCTCATCATCCAGGGACACAAGAGGAAGGTAATTAGCACCAGGAACATGTGGCTCTGCAAATTGGTACCTATTTGTGCTGGAGCATCACTCCCTCCCAGGGCTTGGAGACCAGCATACCTATGGGAAGAAATGGGTAAGGACAACCTGGAAACAGGGTGAGAGGAGGGATGTGTCTTCTGGGTCAGGCAAAGGGGACGTTACTGAAGAGCTGGCTAATTCAGTGGTGTATAATTGCATTTAATCTTCTGTGCTTTGGGGGTATTTTGGTTTTTAAATGACCATGTAAGGATTTTCCTCTATGCAGGAAATGGAAGATCTCTTAAGTTCATCTTTGTGTATCTTCAGCTGTTAATTTTTTCTCAGACTGAGTATTTTATATACATAATTCTATGTGTGTGTATACATATATATATATATACTTTATCTTCAGCTGTTAATTTTTTCTCAGACTGACTATTTTATATACATAATTCTCTCTCTCTCTATATATATACTCCTATAGAAATTATGCTCATGTGTTTTCCTTCCAGTACACGTAACATTTTGTGATTACTTTGACTTCAACTTTTCAGCTCCTTCAGAATAAGGGGTAATAATGAAGGGGGTTGGTGCACTATGGTGCTTCCTCCTCTGGGTTAGAGCACTGAAACCCGATCCAAAAACACCTTCAAGCAGATAAGGTATAATAAAAGGGGTATAAAATAAGGGATAATAAAATGGGGAATTACTCTCTACAAAGAAAAGGAGGAATTTGTCAGCTGGAATAGAAATTCTGTCACCTCATGACATTGGGATAAAAGGTTATTTTGTGAGCAAAATTGATTTTAAGAATCTCAGCTGTAGATGGCAAAAATCTCCTGTCCTGGATAATGCCACATCTCTCTTGGATAACATTAAGGGGTCATTAAATAGACTTTGGAGGCAACAGCTCAGTGATGGAGCATGATGTGGGTTTGACTTGTCAGCAGAAAAGCATCCAGTCACGTACAGGTTTGTCTCTCAAAAAATTTAAAAAAAAAACACTAAAACTAAGTGTACATTTGAAATGTGCACCTTGAGTGTGTGTTAGTGAGACCAGTCAAGTGGGTTATAAACAGCTCATATTTAATGCTGCAGAATATCACTGTGCAAATATTGGAGAGAACTGTGACTATGGTTTAGATTGATTTTGGTTTTTGCTGTGGTGTTAGGGATTTGACCAGCGTTTTTGTGTTCCTGTTTCAGTAAGGAATGAACTGTGGGGGACCTGTTTACTTCATAGCTCGCTAATAACCCCTAATCTGGAGGCTGATGATTGTCTTTGCTCTTTTAGGTTCCTTAATTAGTGTTTCTATTTTGGTCACAGCATGTGTTGAAAGCTTGGATGTCTCTTGAGTATGAAATATATATTCATCTGGTGTAGTCTGGTCCTGCCCAGGTTGTTGCCTGAATTATGTTTTTCCCCTGTGAGAGAAGTGAACTCACCCTCGTGGAAGGACTGAGTAATCTCATTGCTTCATTTTTTGTTTTTCATTTGTCTTTTATGCTGTTGGGGTGTCACAGGAAGGAGAGAATCTCTATTAGGATTGCACTCAAGGAGGCAGAGCCATACGGTGTAGTTCACGTGCTTCTATGAATATTTTGTTATAAAAACCACTGCACTTTGGAGTTTCTATCTCCATTTTCAACCTAAATAAGGACATAACAGTGTTTCAGGTCATTAGTTCCTTCAGGACAGAATTGCAACGATCACTTTTTGTGCTTTTCCCACAGATTCTCCTTAATCCTTCCTTAGATCCTGGGCTATATGAGAAGAAATCTGGTCCATCCACAGAAAATAGTGTTGGAAGTGCACTGCAAGTAGAGGTATGCTGTGGCTTTCTCAGGATCTGCTGAAATAGATTCATAAAGCCATGATTTAAAAAACAAGACTTTGTTTCTCCCCTGACTCAGCCATCTTGGAGAATTCTAACTGAATAGGATTAACGTGCCAACACAGTTGTGTTATTACTAATACTGACTCATATTATTTCTGCTGAGGTGAATATTTTGACCATTTCAGAGTGAGAAGCAAGAGTGAAACATTATTTATACATATATATGTATCTATAAACCATTTTATACAATGTATATCAGATATTATTAATATAGTAACATATTATTAACATCTTATTCATGCATTAATTGATTTATTATATATGTATGTGTGTATAGATATATAGCTATGTGCTTCCTAGGAATAAATTTAAATTCAAACAAACTTAAGAATCGCCTTTGTAGCTTTATCCCCTTCCTTTTGGAGAACAGATCCCGAGATATAATGGTTTCTGTGCTCTAGGCTCACGGGTGAGCAGCAAGACCTGAATGACTGGGGATCATACTTGTGTGAGAGGATGCTCTCACCACCCTCACAGCCAAGAAGTTCTTGAGATCTGATCTTAAGTAGGATGGCTAAAATCCCAGTGCATAAAGTTGAACTTTCTGTTGATTGGTTTGTTGGCAAAATCATCTTTCAAATCATTCCCGTCTGTCAATTGGGGGAAAAAAAAATAGGAAAAAGAAGGAAATTCTTTGACTTCTGTGCTGTGGTCTTGTGTAGCATTTTCAGTTCAGGGCTGGGGTTCATTCAGTGTAACACGGACATGGGACTGCGCAGAGATTTCTGAATGAATGCACTTGGCAGCTCCCAGCAACGTCTCTGGTTTGGCGGGAGCCTCCACTCCAGCTGGTTTCTCCTGCTGGGAATTTGCATGGGTGGAGGGCCACTTCCTCGGATCCTGCTTTTTAATATCTCAACTGGGTCCCCACTATCATTACAATTTGCCCTACACACCTGTGTGTATGTACGTACGTGTGTACATCTAAATATCGAACTGACCAAAGTGTTCAGTGATTAGTTCTTCTTCTCTATTAAAGCCTTACCAAAATACTGAGGATGTCGATTTGGGGGCCCCAAATAAATGTGCAGAGCAGGCCTAAAAGATGCCTCTCATCCCTCTGACTGTTCTACTTCACAGTTCTCCAAAACCTGTGTAATGTCACTGGGCATCTTCCTTTGTATGCAGCTCAAAAAGAAATAAATCTAATTTACACTCGTGAACCTTAACACTGTGCCACTGATAAGAGCACTTAGAATTTATCTGAAGTCAGTAGACATACATTGATCTATATCAGATAAGGAATTGGTCTTGGGCTCTAGGCTGTTGGTGTCAAAAATGACATTTGTCTGCATTTTGCTTTCTTTACTGGCGCTGCAATCCTCTCTGTTTCAAGTAGGATATAAAGGAGCTCTGTTTTGGCGTTGATTTTTAGGAATTTTTACAAGGAATCTCCAAGATTGCTGTTGCTTACAAGGAGAAATAGGTGAAATAAATTTATTTATTTTCTACATTTGTGGGAATGTGAAGTGCTTCGTACAGGCTCTTGGCCAGCAGAAGGCAGTAACTGCCCAGCTTTGCATTGTTCATGGTTGGTGCCTGTTTGCATTAGCCCTCTTCACAGTATAGACCTACGGGCTGGATTTTCCAGGTTCCCAAAGCAGTTCGTAGGAAACTTATTGTCCTACCTGCCCGGTTCTTGATGAATTCCCCCTAAATAATGCATGCCTTTTCTTTCCTAGGCCGGAGAGTTTTGCTTTCCCTCTACACCACCACTCAGCATGTTGTTATTCTGTCACATGCTGGCCGGAGCCTTTCTTCCCTTCCTCACCCTTTCAGGAAATTGGGTTTCAGCTGAGAACATCAACTTTTACAACGTGAGACCTCCACTGGACCGTAAGTAGACAGTTACACTCTTTTTTGTGGATTTTTAGTTAATTGCCATATTCTTCCAATCCTTTGGTTTTTAGGTGTTTGTCTTCCTCAAATATGAAGGCTAAAAAGTTTAAAATAAAACTTTTGCCTTCCAACCCAGAGTAGTTTAGTTTATTTCTTAGATTTTATAAGTTGACTGAATGAAAACAAACAGTTGCGTGCATTGCTAAATTAAAGAGTGCACGAGGGCAACAGTTTTCACATTTTAAGTACTTTTATTATATTTTTCTGTCTCTGAAATGTCTTCCAGCAGAGCAAATTATGCAGTGGATTTCTCATAAGTGTCACAGAACAGAGGGGTTTGCCTTTTATTGTGTGGGGGTTTTTGTAAGGCAAAGAATAGGTGTGCGGTATGCAATTAATTCAAACTGAAGGTAATTAAAAACCTTGTGAGACCTGTGAAGCCAGTTGTCACTAATAGCATCATTTTTTTGCCTCTTATCTAGCATCTGAAGTGCCCTATCCCTTCATTTCAGGGGAGAAGATTTTCATGACACGTATCATTGAAACAGTCGAGACAGCCAGATAAAATAGGAATATATGTGCATCTAGGGAAATGTGCACCTTAAAATAATTTATATATTTATAAAATGGAAATAAGATTTTAAAGTAGCTCTCTTGATCCCTTTGTCAGAGGGCTCAGGCTTCTTCAGAGCTGGAGATCAAGATCTGAAGCTGGTTTTGAAGACGTGTTTTTATTGCATCAAAGGAATGAAAAGCCATTTGAATGTAGATTGTGTTTGTGTGTCTGTACAAACACACACGCGGGTGCACTGTCCTGTGCATACATATAAGGTGTTCTCTCTTTCCTGTTTTTCCCACCACGGCTTAAATGGTGTTTTGGATTGTGAGGGAATGAAAACAGGAGGAGGTGCTTTAAAGTTCAGTTTAAAAGCTTTCTACAAAACTTGTTTCATCAGTTTTATTTGTCTAACAGTGATGTATCGTTGAAAATATGTAAATATATGTAATAGGTTTTTGTGAGTATATGTGTGTGTGAACACTTACGGTATGATTTTGAATATTTTTTTCTTAATATTGCCAAACTTACTCTATTTTAATACTTTTAAAGCCACTCCATTTCCAAACAGTTTTAAGTGCTTTACCTGCGATAACGCGGTGGACAATTACAACTGTAACAGATGGGCTGAAGATAGATGGTGTCCTGAAAGTAAGTGCTTCTCTGCTAAGGAGAGTCTTTGAGAGAGTTAAATTTGTTTCTCCCCTGACTCAGCCATCTTGGAGAATTCTAACTGAATAGGATTAACGTGCCAACACAGTTGTGTTATTACTAATACTGACTCATATTATTTCTGCTGAGGTGAATATTTTGACCATTTCAGAGTGAGAAGCAAGAGTGAAACATTATTTATACATATATATGTATCTATAAACCATTTTATACAATGTATATCAGATATTATTAATATAGTAACATATTATTAACATCTTATTCATGCATTAATTGATTTATTATATATGTATGTGTGTATAGATATATAGCTATGTGCTTCCTAGGAATAAATTTAAATTCAAACAAACTTAAGAATCGCCTTTGTAGCTTTATCCCCTTCCTTTTGGAGAACAGATCCCGAGATATAATGGTTTCTGTGCTCTAGGCTCACGGGTGAGCAGCAAGACCTGAATGACTGGGGATCATACTTGTGTGAGAGGATGATGGATACATTAAAAAAAAAAAAAAAAAGAATGGAAATATGTTTCCTCGTTTTTCTTGGCAGTGATGTGCACAGGAACAGTGGGAAAAGGGAAGATGTGAACTAGAGGAACGAGGAAATGTGTCAGAAACAAAACCAGCAAGAATGTGCTGAAAAAAAAAAAAAAGAATAGAGAATGGATGATAAATGTGTAGATGATAGTGCTAAGAAGTAGTTTAAATGAGAGCAGCCTTTCTGTAGGTTTGAAGGGTCAGTTAAACTCAAGATTTCAACAGTAATTAATTTCTTGCTACATGGGACTTTGATCAAGTTGAAAAATAGCTTTATGCAGCCAAAATAAGTCATTTTTATGGGAATATGTTGCTACGTTGCGTGAAGTTTTTAAACCCTGTCAAAGAAGACATCCTTTATGCAGATAAACATTTGTGAATTTATTTTGTAGGTACTCAGTACTGCTTGACAGTTCATCTCTTCACGGACCATGGGAAGAGTACGTCAGTCACCAAAAAATGTGCCACTGGAGAGGAATGCCACTTCGTAGGCTGCCACCACCACAGGGAAAGTGGCCACACGGTAAGCACCACTCCTTCTTTCAGAGCAGCAGGTTGGGTTTGAGGGTTGCATTTCAGTACTTGTTTTTCCTGTCCAGTCGTGTCTCTGCACAGCACAGCTTGGGTAACGCGGCACAGGACACAAAGCCAGGATGTGTGTGTCCACGAAGAGCCACATTCTTAAGCCAGATACAACTGAGGGAGGAACATGAGGGAGATACAAGTGAATACAAGGAATCTCCAAGATTGCTGTTGCTTACAAGGAGAAATAGGTGAAATAAATTTATTTATTTTCTACATTTGTGGGAATGTGAAGTGCTTCGTACAGGCTCTTGGCCAGCAGAAGGCAGTAACTGCCCAGCTTTGCATTGTTCATGGTTGGTGCCTGTTTGCATTAGCCCTCTTCACAGTATAGACCTACGGGCTGGATTTTCCAGGTTCCCAAAGCAGTTCGTAGGAAACTTATTGTCCTACCTGCCCGGTTCTTGATGAATTCCCCCTAAATAATGCATGCCTTTTCTTTCCTAGGCCGGAGAGTTTTGCTTTCCCTCTACACCACCACTCAGCATGTTGTTATTCTGTCACATGCTGGCCGGAGCCTTTCTTCCCTTCCTCACCCTTTCAGGAAATTGGGTTTCAGCTGAGAACATCAACTTTTACAACGTGAGACCTCCACTGGACCGTAAGTAGACAGTTACACTCTTTTTTGTGGATTTTTAGTTAATTGCCATATTCTTCCAATCCTTTGGTTTTTAGGTGTTTGTCTTCCTCAAATATGAAGGCTAAAAAGTTTAAAATAAAACTTTTGCCTTCCAACCCAGAGTAGTTTAGTTTATTTCTTAGATTTTATAAGTTGACTGAATGAAAACAAACAGTTGCGTGCATTGCTAAATTAAAGAGTGCACGAGGGCAACAGTTTTCACATTTTAAGTACTTTTATTATATTTTTCTGTCTCTGAAATGTCTTCCAGCAGAGCAAATTATGCAGTGGATTTCTCATAAGTGTCACAGAACAGAGGGGTTTGCCTTTTATTGTGTGGGGGTTTTTGTAAGGCAAAGAATAGGTGTGCGGTATGCAATTAATTCAAACTGAAGGTAATTAAAAACCTTGTGAGACCTGTGAAGCCAGTTGTCACTAATAGCATCATTTTTTTGCCTCTTATCTAGCATCTGAAGTGCCCTATCCCTTCATTTCAGGGGAGAAGATTTTCATGACACGTATCATTGAAACAGTCGAGACAGCCAGATAAAATAGGAATATATGTGCATCTAGGGAAATGTGCACCTTAAAATAATTTATATATTTATAAAATGGAAATAAGATTTTAAAGTAGCTCTCTTGATCCCTTTGTCAGAGGGCTCAGGCTTCTTCAGAGCTGGAGATCAAGATCTGAAGCTGGTTTTGAAGACGTGTTTTTATTGCATCAAAGGAATGAAAAGCCATTTGAATGTAGATTGTGTTTGTGTGTCTGTACAAACACACACGCGGGTGCACTGTCCTGTGCATACATATAAGGTGTTCTCTCTTTCCTGTTTTTCCCACCACGGCTTAAATGGTGTTTTGGATTGTGAGGGAATGAAAACAGGAGGAGGTGCTTTAAAGTTCAGTTTAAAAGCTTTCTACAAAACTTGTTTCATCAGTTTTATTTGTCTAACAGTGATGTATCGTTGAAAATATGTAAATATATGTAATAGGTTTTTGTGAGTATATGTGTGTGTGAACACTTACGGTATGATTTTGAATATTTTTTTCTTAATATTGCCAAACTTACTCTATTTTAATACTTTTAAAGCCACTCCATTTCCAAACAGTTTTAAGTGCTTTACCTGCGATAACGCGGTGGACAATTACAACTGTAACAGATGGGCTGAAGATAGATGGTGTCCTGAAAGTAAGTGCTTCTCTGCTAAGGAGAGTCTTTGAGAGAGTTAAATTTGTTTCTCCCCTGACTCAGCCATCTTGGAGAATTCTAACTGAATAGGATTAACGTGCCAACACAGTTGTGTTATTACTAATACTGACTCATATTATTTCTGCTGAGGTGAATATTTTGACCATTTCAGAGTGAGAAGCAAGAGTGAAACATTATTTATACATATATATGTATCTATAAACCATTTTATACAATGTATATCAGATATTATTAATATAGTAACATATTATTAACATCTTATTCATGCATTAATTGATTTATTATATATGTATGTGTGTATAGATATATAGCTATGTGCTTCCTAGGAATAAATTTAAATTCAAACAAACTTAAGAATCGCCTTTGTAGCTTTATCCCCTTCCTTTTGGAGAACAGATCCCGAGATATAATGGTTTCTGTGCTCTAGGCTCACGGGTGAGCAGCAAGACCTGAATGACTGGGGATCATACTTGTGTGAGAGGATGATGGATACATTAAAAAAAAAAAAAAAAAGAATGGAAATATGTTTCCTCGTTTTTCTTGGCAGTGATGTGCACAGGAACAGTGGGAAAAGGGAAGATGTGAACTAGAGGAACGAGGAAATGTGTCAGAAACAAAACCAGCAAGAATGTGCTGAAAAAAAAAAAAAAGAATAGAGAATGGATGATAAATGTGTAGATGATAGTGCTAAGAAGTAGTTTAAATGAGAGCAGCCTTTCTGTAGGTTTGAAGGGTCAGTTAAACTCAAGATTTCAACAGTAATTAATTTCTTGCTACATGGGACTTTGATCAAGTTGAAAAATAGCTTTATGCAGCCAAAATAAGTCATTTTTATGGGAATATGTTGCTACGTTGCGTGAAGTTTTTAAACCCTGTCAAAGAAGACATCCTTTATGCAGATAAACATTTGTGAATTTATTTTGTAGGTACTCAGTACTGCTTGACAGTTCATCTCTTCACGGACCATGGGAAGAGTACGTCAGTCACCAAAAAATGTGCCACTGGAGAGGAATGCCACTTCGTAGGCTGCCACCACCACAGGGAAAGTGGCCACACGGTAAGCACCACTCCTTCTTTCAGAGCAGCAGGTTGGGTTTGAGGGTTGCATTTCAGTACTTGTTTTTCCTGTCCAGTCGTGTCTCTGCACAGCACAGCTTGGGTAACGCGGCACAGGACACAAAGCCAGGATGTGTGTGTCCACGAAGAGCCACATTCTTAAGCCAGATACAACTGAGGGAGGAACATGAGGGAGATACAAGTGAAGAGGGGCTGGAGCCCCTCTGCTGGGAGGACAGGCTGAGAGAGTTGGGGGGGTTCAGCCTGGAGAAGAGAAGGCCCCAGGGAGACCTTGGAGCCCCTTCCAGTCCCTCAAGGGGGATCCAGGAGAGATGGGGAGAGACTCTGGATGAGGGAGGGGAGTCCTAGGAGGAGGGGAAGGGTTTGACCCTGAAAGAGGGGAGATTGAGCTGAGATGTGGGGAAGAACTTCTTTGGTGTGAGGGTGGTGAGAGCCTGGCCCAGGTTGCCCAGAGAAGCTGTGGCTGCCCCATCCCTGGAGGGGTTGAAGGGCAGGTTGGAGGGGGCTTGGAGCAACCTGGTGTGGTGGGAGGTGTCCCTGCCCAGGGTAGGGGGGTTTGGACTGGATGATTCTTCCAACCCAAACCATTCTATGATTCTATGAGGTTTTGTTCCATGACAAATAGCTAGAACTGCTGCCTTCTCCCATCCTTGGGATGCTGGGTAAAAGTTTATTCTGAATAATCAAGCATATCCCACCAACATATTATTCACTGCAGTGAAGTATTATGCACTAATTCTTTAATAGTTGGGAAAGTTAGTAATGTTATTTTTAACTTGAAAGATTTCATAAACCAAAGACAAAGCAGACAATGCCCATGTTAAATATAAAAGAATTTGGATGTTATTTGAATCAACTTCCATTGATTTCAACAGGCTCTGGTGGGCTGTGGGCATGAAAAGACCACGCAGCCTGCCTTCTGCTGCTTTTAATCCTGTAAGAGTTCTTATGTCTTTGGATTAGATAAAAAAAATTGACATTCTCTTGGCTTTCCCAGCAAGGAATGTCAAGTAAGGAAGACTATTTTCAGAGTCTCTCCTGAAAATCAGCTGTGTCAGTGGTTCTGTGGCACTAGAAAACTGGGGAAAAAAAAGAGCAAGTGTGAAGTTCAGCACACAAAGCTGCACTGGAGACAGAAGCTTGAGGGGAAAAACGAATGGGAACAGAGTTTTGACAGTCAGAATTTTCTAGCTGAAATTTGAAACATTCAAACTCATGGTTTTAGGTTGTGTTAGAAGGGGAAAGTGGTGGAAAGCATCACATCACAGCTCCCAAGCCACTAGAGGGTGAGTTACTCCAGGAAGGCCGTGGTGGAAGAGAAGTTGTGGTAGATACAACCTTTGCAATCAATTGAAAAATATGTTCATCCCTAAAAGCTGTTCTGAGTTACCCTGTGCCCAGTGACCTTTTTTTTTGTCCCAACAGGAATGTGTGTCCTGCTGCGAGGGCATGATTTGCAACGTAGAAATACCAACCAACCACACCAACGCCGTGTTTGCCGTCTTGCACGCCCGGAGAACCTCAGATGGCAGCAGGCGGATGGTCAGCGTTGCCCTGCTCGTGTCGGTCCTGATGGTCACCTTATCGTGATGCATCATCCTCCCATGACATCTTCCAGGGAGAGTCCACCTTTCTGCAGGCCGTAAGGAACCCTAAGGAGCTTGATTCACTATGTGCAAGGAGAAATCACCGCTGCTCCTTAATTACATCAAATTTAAGGGGACGGTGGAAAGACAAGTGTCCAACTCCTTGGATGTTTTAATACAACTGTAACAGATGGGCTGAAGATAGATGGTGTCCTGAAAGTAAGTGCTTCTCTGCTAAGGAGAGAGAGTCTTTGAGAGAGTTAACACCGCTGCTCCTTAATTACATCAAATTTAAGGGGACGGTGGAAAGACAAGTGTCCAACTCTTTGGATATTTCAGTGAAGATACTTCATATGGCCTGCAGTATTTTAAAAATATCCAACCACAGCCACCCACTGCTTGACTAAGCAGTGGGGTGAACTCAAATATAATAATTCACTGTTTTATGATGACAATGCACATACTCAACGTGGTTTTTGGACAGAGAAAAGTGTCTGTAGACAATCGCTTTCCCAGGTGAGATAAGAAGGAACTTTTTGATGGACGATGTGCCAAGAGGTATCTGAATGGAGACTGCTTTTAAACTGCTTTTTATTGTGCATAAATAACATGGAGTTTTGTGTCTTGATCAACAGGTGTATTTAAGCTTGTCGTTAGTTATGGTTTTCATAGAGAACACGTGTGGTTTTCATAGAGAACATATATGAGAGAATTTTTTTTCTGTTTTGATCAGAGCTATAACTTCTGCTGGAAATAATGCAAAATAATACTTGTATCTTTCTTTTCTGTAAAAATGTGGCCTTGCACTCAGATTTTAAAACAGTGTGAAATTATGTAGAATTTCTGTCTAAAACTGATGAACTGTTTGGGCACCTAAATCAGAATTCTCCCCCCAACAAAGGGGTTATTTTCTTGCCATAGAGTCCCACCTCAGCTGAATCTTTGTGATATTGTTCAAAGTGGTGGTGATACCATGACTTCAAAATTGCAGCTATGGCCAAGCAGCCACATTATAACTAAGGAGAGGAGCCTTCTGTGTTCCCTTTAGATTTGCAGAAGTTTCTCCCAGAAACATTACTGTCCTTGATGGATCTTCAGCTTGTAAGTCAGCACTGTTGGATGTCCCAGGCCTCTGGACATCATCGTTATGTGGCTTTGCCACCCCTGTTTGAAAACTTTGGGCCAAGATTCTGTTTTCCATTATGATATTGAGGGGGGGGGTTAATGTGAATTATTTCCATAGTTTGCCAATTTGACTCCATACATTTTAGACAACTGTTCATCAATGAGATGAACAGTTGGGGTTGGAAGGGACCTCTGGAGATCATCTTGTCCAACCCCCCCTGCCAAAGCAGGTCCACCCAGAGCAGGTTGCACAGGGATGGTAGAGTTTAGCTGACAGATAGATGTATTAAAAACAAGCAGGTCCACCTAGAGCAAGTTGCACAGGGATGGCAGAGTTTAGATGACAGATAGATGTATTAAAAAATGTAAACCTTGGGATGCAGAGCAGCATAAATAAGTAGCTTGTGTGAATTCTTGTCCCTTCTGACGCAGAATGGTGCTTTCCAGGGCTCTGACAAATCAAGCTTTTACAGAGTCTGCAATGGGACAAGCTCACAGTGTCTGAATTGGTCACATCCTGGTTGTAGAGACCAGCAGGTACCGATGTTACATCTCTTCTCAGCATGGTTTAGTGGGATCCAAAATCCCAACAAATTTCAGCTGCTCCCGTTTGCCCAATTGTGTTTCCTCCAACTCCCCACCATTTCCATCAAACCTTGGGATGCAGAGCAGCATAAATAAGTATCTTGTCTGAATTCTTGCCCCTTCTGACACAGAATGGTGCTTTCCAGGGCTCTGACAAATCAAGCTTTTACAGAGTCTGCAATGGGACAAGCTCACAGTGTCTGAATTGGTCACATCCTGGTTGTAGAGACCAGCAGGTACCGATGTTACATCTCTTCTCAGCATGGTTTAGTGGGATCCAAAATCCCAACAAATTTCAGCTGCTCCCGTTTGCCCAATTGTGTTTCCTCCAACTCCCCACCATTTCCATCAACTTCTCTGACAGCCTAAGATACTGCAGCATAGCAAAGGATTTGACCTGACCATGTTGAGGAGCTGCATTCCCTTTTTTCTTTTTCTAAACTATTTTATTCATTTATGAATATATTGCTATGATTACAAATAAGATAGAATGTTCTGATCTGTCTCTAGTGGCTTTTTCTCATCTTAAGTGAGATGGTTAAAATTATGATTATCTGTTGAACTATTTTTCAGGACAGATCATGGAGACTTACTCTTAAAAAGAGATTCCAAACTGTTCTCTGAAAAATTTAAGAAGCTGTAAATCGGGATTTATTTACATAAATATTGGCCTAGTTATTTGGTACTTAAAATGACTACAATAGACGAGCAGGTGAAAACCAGATTTTGAAATGTTTTCAGTTTTGTTTACATCCTAAAATTGCCTACGGAATATTTTAGGATATATATAAATGTGTCTACAAATCAGTTTTTGGTTGTTGACAGGCAATTGTGTAGTTACAAAAATTGGATGGAAACGCTTTCGGGTTTGGTTTTTTTTTTAATTGGAAACACATTTGTATTTTGCTTATGCAAAGTAGTTCTTGCAGGTTTTGCAGGCTCCGGAGTCTGATGACCATTGCTGTGCCATTCAACAGGCCAAGATGCTGAGGATATTTTGAGGAAATTTCTCCTTTTTTCAGGGACCATCCCTAGGTAACTTATTGATAGTATTCACCTCGGTGTCAGACATAGTAACAAGTACGTTCCGTGTTTTTCATCATTAAACATTATTATCTCTTTGCTTGTAGGAAAACTATCCCAGGTTTGCTCTCTGCTCAACAGGGAATTCCTCAGGAAGGTGAAGGCAGGTTTTTTGCCACGTTTCGTGTCACTGTGTTTTTCCTGGTTTTGCCTCTAAGCACTGGGTGCTCCCATAAATCCATTTCTGAGAGTAACCATTGCAATCTCAACAAGGCCTTAAAGCTCCCTGTAGTCTTATATGAGTTTACTGTAAATAATATTACAATAAGCTTAAGTGCTGACATTTATTTATGCTGCAAATGCCATGCCAGAGGGTTTGGGAATGCCAGGGAGACCCTGAAGAGCTGCCCAGTAGAAAAGGGCTGCAGGTTCCCTGTAGCTGCCAAAAGACCTTTTGGGAGGGGAGGTCTCTATGTCTTTGTTTTAATTGGTCAAACTGAGTTTGGTTGGGTTTTTTTCCTGTTTGTCACACTGAAAAGATAAGAAATCTGCGCATAATTTAAATACTTCATGCATTTGGTAAAGAATTGTTTACAATTAAAAAAAAAGAATAATTGAAGAATTCCACCGGAGTCCCAAAATTAATTTTAAGTGTCATCTTTTTCAAATTAAGAATAAAGATGGTAACCTGGGATATGAAAAGATTTGGTGTTGCCAAAGGTTTGGTATTGTGGCGTAATAGAATTCCAATAGTGGAGGATATTGAGGATGAGTTCTAGTCATCTCAACACATCCATACCTTTGTTATTGCGAAGTTTAAGGCTATTGTTTCTTGAAAAAGGAATATGCAAAAGCTGCTTCTGCAATGTTAACGCTGCACAAATAGGCACTTGGCTGAAAAAAATACAGAATTTATGAATGAATATCAATTTTACCCATTGCTGCTTTTCATGTATGTAAAAACCTGTATGCTGGCCCTTACGTTTTATTATAGGCCAATGTGAAACGCTGGCATTGTAGGAAAAAAGCAGAATGTGCTGATTATTAGAGAAAATAGTGCTAAAATTCCCCAGATTGCCTATTTTCTGATTATTAGAGAAAATAGTGCTAAAATTCTCCAGATTTGATGTGGGCAATGGTGTGACTAATGATCGACTGCGTGGGCAATCAACGTTAATTTATGGCAGAATGCTTCTATTTTATTGATGGCTATATTGATGGGTATATATGATGGCTATAAATATATATGATGGCTATATTTTCTCTTGAGCTGTCTGTCTGAAGGACTCACTGAGGAACTTATTGGAGTGTTGTTTGACTTGAGAAAAATAATCGTCGGGTGCTCCGTGATGTATGTATTTCATGTGTTCACAGATGTTGTACCTTCAATACAGACGACTCGTTAATGCCTAAATTGGCCACCCAGCTCTGGAAATGAGGTTTTTGTCAATGCATGCCCATAACTTCACATGCAGGAGTGTCTTTGCTAATATTTCTACGCACATCCCTCTTCCAGCAATAACGTGTTAAATCCTGTGTTCTCCCTCAGTAATTGGGCAGGTTTTTATCTCCAGAGACAGCAGGCACCAGGTGAAATCTGTGGGTCCCAAACCCATGTGCCTTCATGGACAAAATTCTCCCTTCCTATTGCCCTTACAACCTGGAAAGAATTCAAGGGGAACAGCAAGTAAATCCATTGGTGCAGCTGAGGAAAGATAAGTGTCATTGTATAATATATGTGGATTTGGGGTTTTTGTAGCAAATAACATCAAAAGAAGATCAAGATATAAAAAAATCTAGCTATTTCAGGGCACAAAGACATTTTTGTAGGAGGCATTTGTTTAACATCACTTGTCTCTAAAAGAAGCCCTGCAAGAAGTGCCTGAGCTTAAGGGGCTGGGTTCTTGCAGGTGTTTTGAATTAAGAGAACAGGGCCCACAGCCCTCTCTTAAAGGGAGCAGAGAGGGGGGATATTTCTCACTCCCTTCACCAAGTGACTGGTTCCTGTGTTCTAGCTCGTGTATTTTTGTGTTTTATTTGTGTGAGCCTTTAATGTCCTCTGCTCTTGCCTTCAAGAAACCAAGGAGATGCAGGAAAAAAACTGTAAGTTTTGGGGGAGAGGGTTGAAGCAAACACATGGATGAATGTATTTTGCAGTCATGACTCATTATTTTAGATTGTTTTAATTTCATGGTGATTTGGTAAGGTTAATTTTTAACATCATTAATGATACTGTATTAAGAAGCTGCTGTTAAAGGAGGGAAACCTGTCGGTGTTTGATGATGGAATGGATTTGTGTGAGAAGGAAGGTACTGCTGTTGTTATACAGGGGTTTAAAGGTCTCATTGCACAGTTCGTTTGTGTTAATTTTTTCCTGTCTTAGGGTTTATTGTGAGGGGTCTTTTTTTTTAATCTTTACCCTTTGATCTGTGCCACTGTAACCAGGGCGATGTGGCACTGCTCTGGAGTGGGAATGCTGTGGCAAAATGGACTGGAATAAGTAGAAAAATACACCTGTGAGTGGAGGTGGGATAAACAGAACATTTAACTTTGTTTCTCCCCTGACTCAGCCATCTTGGAGAATTCTAACTGAATAGGATTAACGTGCCAACACAGTTGTGTTATTACTAATACTGACTCATATTATTTCTGCTGAGGTGAATATTTTGACCATTTCAGAGTGAGAAGCAAGAGTGAAACATTATTTATACATATATATGTATCTATAAACCATTTTATACAATGTATATCAGATATTATTAATATAGTAACATATTATTAACATCTTATTCATGCATTAATTGATTTATTATATATGTATGTGTGTATAGATATATAGCTATGTGCTTCCTAGGAATAAATTTAAATTCAAACAAACTTAAGAATCGCCTTTGTAGCTTTATCCCCTTCCTTTTGGAGAACAGATCCCGAGATATAATGGTTTCTGTGCTCTAGGCTCACGGGTGAGCAGCAAGACCTGAATGACTGGGGATCATACTTGTGTGAGAGGATGATGGATACATTAAAAAAAAAAAAAAAAAGAATGGAAATATGTTTCCTCGTTTTTCTTGGCAGTGATGTGCACAGGAACAGTGGGAAAAGGGAAGATGTGAACTAGAGGAACGAGGAAATGTGTCAGAAACAAAACCAGCAAGAATGTGCTGAAAAAAAAAAAAAAGAATAGAGAATGGATGATAAATGTGTAGATGATAGTGCTAAGAAGTAGTTTAAATGAGAGCAGCCTTTCTGTAGGTTTGAAGGGTCAGTTAAACTCAAGATTTCAACAGTAATTAATTTCTTGCTACATGGGACTTTGATCAAGTTGAAAAATAGCTTTATGCAGCCAAAATAAGTCATTTTTATGGGAATATGTTGCTACGTTGCGTGAAGTTTTTAAACCCTGTCAAAGAAGACATCCTTTATGCAGATAAACATTTGTGAATTTATTTTGTAGGTACTCAGTACTGCTTGACAGTTCATCTCTTCACGGACCATGGGAAGAGTACGTCAGTCACCAAAAAATGTGCCACTGGAGAGGAATGCCACTTCGTAGGCTGCCACCACCACAGGGAAAGTGGCCACACGGTAAGCACCACTCCTTCTTTCAGAGCAGCAGGTTGGGTTTGAGGGTTGCATTTCAGTACTTGTTTTTCCTGTCCAGTCGTGTCTCTGCACAGCACAGCTTGGGTAACGCGGCACAGGACACAAAGCCAGGATGTGTGTGTCCACGAAGAGCCACATTCTTAAGCCAGATACAACTGAGGGAGGAACATGAGGGAGATACAAGTGAAGAGGGGCTGGAGCCCCTCTGCTGGGAGGACAGGCTGAGAGAGTTGGGGGGGTTCAGCCTGGAGAAGAGAAGGCCCCAGGGAGACCTTGGAGCCCCTTCCAGTCCCTCAAGGGGGATCCAGGAGAGATGGGGAGAGACTCTGGATGAGGGAGGGGAGTCCTAGGAGGAGGGGAAGGGTTTGACCCTGAAAGAGGGGAGATTGAGCTGAGATGTGGGGAAGAACTTCTTTGGTGTGAGGGTGGTGAGAGCCTGGCCCAGGTTGCCCAGAGAAGCTGTGGCTGCCCCATCCCTGGAGGGGTTGAAGGGCAGGTTGGAGGGGGCTTGGAGCAACCTGGTGTGGTGGGAGGTGTCCCTGCCCAGGGTAGGGGGGTTTGGACTGGATGATTCTTCCAACCCAAACCATTCTATGATTCTATGAGGTTTTGTTCCATGACAAATAGCTAGAACTGCTGCCTTCTCCCATCCTTGGGATGCTGGGTAAAAGTTTATTCTGAATAATCAAGCATATCCCACCAACATATTATTCACTGCAGTGAAGTATTATGCACTAATTCTTTAATAGTTGGGAAAGTTAGTAATGTTATTTTTAACTTGAAAGATTTCATAAACCAAAGACAAAGCAGACAATGCCCATGTTAAATATAAAAGAATTTGGATGTTATTTGAATCAACTTCCATTGATTTCAACAGGCTCTGGTGGGCTGTGGGCATGAAAAGACCACGCAGCCTGCCTTCTGCTGCTTTTAATCCTGTAAGAGTTCTTATGTCTTTGGATTAGATAAAAAAAATTGACATTCTCTTGGCTTTCCCAGCAAGGAATGTCAAGTAAGGAAGACTATTTTCAGAGTCTCTCCTGAAAATCAGCTGTGTCAGTGGTTCTGTGGCACTAGAAAACTGGGGAAAAAAAAGAGCAAGTGTGAAGTTCAGCACACAAAGCTGCACTGGAGACAGAAGCTTGAGGGGAAAAACGAATGGGAACAGAGTTTTGACAGTCAGAATTTTCTAGCTGAAATTTGAAACATTCAAACTCATGGTTTTAGGTTGTGTTAGAAGGGGAAAGTGGTGGAAAGCATCACATCACAGCTCCCAAGCCACTAGAGGGTGAGTTACTCCAGGAAGGCCGTGGTGGAAGAGAAGTTGTGGTAGATACAACCTTTGCAATCAATTGAAAAATATGTTCATCCCTAAAAGCTGTTCTGAGTTACCCTGTGCCCAGTGACCTTTTTTTTTGTCCCAACAGGAATGTGTGTCCTGCTGCGAGGGCATGATTTGCAACGTAGAAATACCAACCAACCACACCAACGCCGTGTTTGCCGTCTTGCACGCCCGGAGAACCTCAGATGGCAGCAGGCGGATGGTCAGCGTTGCCCTGCTCGTGTCGGTCCTGATGGTCACCTTATCGTGATGCATCATCCTCCCATGACATCTTCCAGGGAGAGTCCACCTTTCTGCAGGCCGTAAGGAACCCTAAGGAGCTTGATTCACTATGTGCAAGGAGAAATCACCGCTGCTCCTTAATTACATCAAATTTAAGGGGACGGTGGAAAGACAAGTGTCCAACTCTTTGGATATTTCAGTGAAGATACTTCATATGGCCTGCAGTATTTTAAAAATATCCAACCACAGCCACCCACTGCTTGACTAAGCAGTGGGGTGAACTCAAATATAATAATTCACTGTTTTATGATGACAATGCACATACTCAACGTGGTTTTTGGACAGAGAAAAGTGTCTGTAGACAATCGCTTTCCCAGGTGAGATAAGAAGGAACTTTTTGATGGACGATGTGCCAAGAGGTATCTGAATGGAGACTGCTTTTAAACTGCTTTTTATTGTGCATAAATAACATGGAGTTTTGTGTCTTGATCAACAGGTGTATTTAAGCTTGTCGTTAGTTATGGTTTTCATAGAGAACACGTGTGGTTTTCATAGAGAACATATATGAGAGAATTTTTTTTCTGTTTTGATCAGAGCTATAACTTCTGCTGGAAATAATGCAAAATAATACTTGTATCTTTCTTTTCTGTAAAAATGTGGCCTTGCACTCAGATTTTAAAACAGTGTGAAATTATGTAGAATTTCTGTCTAAAACTGATGAACTGTTTGGGCACCTAAATCAGAATTCTCCCCCCAACAAAGGGATTATTTTCTTCCCATAGAGTCCCACCTCAGCTGAATCTTTGTGATATTGTTCAAAGTGGTGGTGATACCATGACTTCAAAATTGCAGCTATGGCCAAGCAGCCACATTATAACTAAGGAGAGGAGCCTTCTGTGTTCCCTTTAGATTTGCAGAAGTTTCTCCCAGAAACATTACTGTCCTTGATGGATCTTCAGCTCGTAAGTCAGCACTGGAGGATGTCCCAGGCCTCTGGACATCATCGTTATGTGGCTTTGCCACCCCTGTTTGAAAACTTTGGGCCAAGATTCTGTTTTCCATTATGATGTGAATTATTTCCATAGTTTGCCAATTTGACTCCATACATTTTAGACAACTGTTCATCAATGAGATGAACAGTTGGGGTTGGAAGGGACCTCTGGAGATCATCTTGTCCAACCCCCCCTGCCAAAGCAGGTCCACCCAGAGCAGGTTGCACAGGGATGGTAGAGTTTAGCTGACAGATAGATGTATTAAAAACTGTAAACCTTGGGATGCAGAGCAGCATAAATAAGTAGCTTGTGTGAATTCTTGTCCCTTCTGACGCAGAATGGTGCTTTCCAGGGCTCTGACAAATAAAGCTTTTACAGAGGCTGCAATGGGACAAGCTCACAGTGTCTGAATTGGTCACATCCTGGTTGTAGAGACCAGCAGGTACCGATGTTACATCTCTTCTCAGCATGGTTTAGTGGGATCCAAAATCCCAACAAATTTCAGCTGCTCCCGTTTGCCCAGTTGTGTTTCCTCCAACTCCCCACCATTTCCATCAACTTCTCTGACAGCCTAAGATACTGCAGCACAATGAAGGATTTCACCTGGCAATGTTGAGGAGCTGCATTCCCTTTTTTCTTTTCCTAAACTATTTTATTCATTTATGAATATATCAATATGATTACAAGTAAGATAGAATGTTCTGATCTGTCTCTAGTGGCTTTTTCTCATCTTAAGTGAGATGGTTAAAATTATGATTAACTGTTGAACTATTTTTCAGGACAGATCATGGAGACTTACTCTTAAAAAGAGATTCCAAACTGTTCTCTGAAAAATTTAAGAAGCTGTAAATCGGGATTTATTTACATAAATATTGGCCTAGTTATTTGGTACTTAAAATGACTACAATAGACGAGCAGGTGAAAACCAGATTTTGAAATGTTTTCAGTTTTGTTTACATCCTAAAATTGCCTACGGAATATTTTAGGATATATATAAATGTGTCTACAAATCAGTTTTTGGTTGTTGACAGGCAATTGTGTAGTTACAAAAATTGGATGGAAACGCTTTCGGGTTTGGTTTTTTTTTTAATTGGAAACACATTTGTATTTTGCTTATGCAAAGTAGTTCTTGCAGGTTTTGCAGGCTCCGGAGTCTGATGACCATTGCTGTGCCATTCAACAGGCCAAGATGCTGAGGATATTTTGAGGAAATTTCTCCTTTTTTCAGGGACCATCCCTAGGTAACTTATTGATAGTATTTACCTCGGTGTCAAACATTTTAACAACTATGTTCTGTGTTTTTCATCATTAAACATTATCTCTTTGCTTGTGGGAAGACTGTCCCAGGTTTGCTCTCTGCTCAACGGGGAGTTCCTCAGGAAGGTGAAGGCAGGTTTTTTGCCACGTTTCGTGTCACGGTGTTTTTCCTGGTTTTGCCTCTAAGCACTGGGTGCTCCCATAAATCCATTTCTGAGAGTAACCATTGCAATCTCAACAAGGCCTTAAAGCTCCCTGTAGTCTTATATGAGTTTACTGTAAATAATATTACAATAATCTTAAGTGCTGACATTTATTTATGCTGCAAATGCCATGCCAGAGGGTTTGGGAATGCCAGGGAGACCCTGAAGAGCTGCCCAGTAGAAAAGGGCTGCAGGTTCCCTGTAGCTGCCAAAAGACCTTTTGGGAGGGGAGGTCTCTATGTCTTTGTTTTAATTGGTCAAACTGAGTTTGGTTGGGTTTTTTTCCTGTTTGTCACACTGAAAAGTTAAGAAATCTGCGCATAATTTAAATACTTCATGCATTTGGTAAAGAATTGTTTACAATTAAAAAAAAAGAATAATTGAAGAATTCCACCGGAGTCCCAAAATTAATTTTAAGTGTCATCTTTTTCAAATTAAGAATAAAGATGGTAACCTGGGATATGAAAAGATTTGGTGTTGCCAAAGGTTTGGTATTTTGGCGTAATAGAATTCCAATAGTGGAGGATATTGAGGATGAGTTCTAGTCATCTCAACACATCCATACCTTTGTTATTGCGAAGTTTAAGGCTATTGTTTCTTGAAAAAGGAATATGCAAAAGCTGCTTCTGCAATGTTAACGCTGCACAAATAGGCACTTGGCTGAAAAAAATACAGAATTTATGAATGAATATCAATTTTACCCATTGCTGCTTTTTACGTATGTAAAAACCTGTATGCTGGCCCTTACGTTTTATTATAGGCCAATGTGAAACGCTGACATTGTAGGAAAAAAGCAGATTGTGCTGATTATTAGAGAAAATAGTGCTAAAATTCCCCAGATTGCCTATTTTTGGTGTGACTAATGATCGACTGCGTGGGCAATCAATGTTAATTTATGGCAGAATGCTTCTATTTTATTGATGGCTATATTGATGGGTATATATGATGGCTATAAATATATATGATGGCTATATTTTCTCTTGAGCTGTCTGTCTGAAGGACTCACTGAGGAACTTATTGGAGTGTTGTTTGACTTGAGAAAAATAATCGTCGGGTGCTCCGTGATGTATGTATTTCATGTGTTCACAGATGTTGTACCTTCAATACAGACGACTCGTTAATGCCTAAATTGGCCACCCAGCTCTGGAAATGAGGTTTTTGTCAATGCATGCCCATAACTTCACATGCAGGAGTGTCTTTGCTAATATTTCTACGCACATCCCTCTTCCAGCAATAACGTGTTAAATCCTGTGTTCTCCCTCAGTAATTGGGCAGGTTTTTATCTCCAGAGACAGCAGGCACCAGGTGAAATCTGTGGGTCCCAAACCCATGTGCCTTCATGGACAAAATTCTCCCTTCCTATTGCCCTTACAACCTGGAAAGAATTCAAGGGGAACAGCAAGTAAATCCATTGGTGCAGCTGAGGAAAGATAAGTGTCATTGTATAATATATGTGTGTAATGGGGAATTATTATTTTTTTTGTTTTACATTGCACTGGACAGTCTCTAGAAGATTTATTTTTTAAAAGCTCCTTCTCTAATCAGTGTTGGTTTGTATGATGCTTTCTTACTGCTGTGTTACTGTTTTAAATCTCCTCCACAGATGGCACTTTTTAATTAAAAATATTAAAACATTTGCTGGTGGAAAATGTTTGTGGTCAACAAGATAAAAAGCCTTTTGCTTCTGAAGACACCAAGACCAATTATGAGGAAGATTCTTCTCTCCTTTATTGATTTTGGTTAAGGAAAATCTACTTTGCAGTTTATTCAGTTTGTTAAAGTGAGCCCTGGGGTGGGATCATGGGGGGGATTGGGGTCATGGGGTGGGATTTTGACTTTCCCGGTTGGTGTAACTGGTTCCAGGTTCATCAAATCTTTCATGGGGTGGAGATTCCCTCTTCCCCAGGCAACATAAATCCAAATTTTTTTAGCAATCTTAGTTTAAATGGAATTCTGCCATGGCCTTGGTGTGGTTTATAATATCCTCTGCTTTGACTTTTACCAGCAGTGACTCCAGGATCCTTCACCGATGCCGATCCTTCCCTCTTGGAGGGCAGGTTATCCTGCTGGAGACGTGCTGAGCCCCACAGCATTTCAAAAAGGCAGGAAGAAAACTAGTGTGCATTTCTGAAAATGAAATTGCTGTAATCATTAGTAAGGTAATTTTCAGTAAGAACGTGGAATTTTAAGTGGAAATATTTTTTTTACTATTCCATTTGATCAGAAAGGTTTCAAAGCAAAAAAATGAGCTTCTACACCAGCCTCTGGACTCACCACAAAAATTGAAGCACAGGTGCTGGTTGAAATTCCAAATTAAGGAAACGAGCAGCACACGGTCAGTTCAGTTAAACAGGGACAAAAAAAAAAAAAAGCCTATTTGGGGTTTTTGTAGCAAATAACATCAAAAGAAGATCAAGATATAAAAAAATCTAGCTATTTCAGGGCACAAAGACATTTTTGTAGGAGGCATTTGTTTAACATCACTTGTCTCTAAAAGAAGCCCTGCAAGAAGTGCCTGAGCTTAAGGGGCTGGGTTCTTGCAGGTGTTTTGAATTAAGAGAACAGGGCCCACAGCCCTCTCTTAAAGGGAGCAGAGAGGGGGGATATTTCTCACTCCCTTCACCAAGTGACTGGTTCCTGTGTTCTAGCTCGTGTATTTTTGTGTTTTATTTGTGTGAGCCTTTAATGTCCTCTGCTCTTGCCTTCAAGAAACCAAGGAGATGCAGGAAAAAAACTGTAAGTTTTGGGGGAGAGGGTTGAAGCAAACACATGGATGAATGTATTTTGCAGTCATGACTCATTATTTTAGATTGTTTTAATTTCATGGTGATTTGGTAAGGTTAATTTTTAACATCATTAATGATACTGTATTAAGAAGCTGCTGTTAAAGGAGGGAAACCTGTCGGTGTTTGATGATGGAATGGATTTGTGTGAGAAGGAAGGTAATGCTGTTGTTATACAGGGGTTTAAAGGTCTCATTGCACAGTTCGTTTGTGTTAATTTGTCCCTGTCTTAGGGTTTATTGTGAAGGGTTTTTTTTTAATCTCTGCCCTTTGATCTGTGCCACTGTAACCAGGGTGATGTGGCACTGCTCTGGAGTGGGAATGCCGTGGCAAAATGGACTGGAATAAGTAGAAAAATACACCTGTGAGTGGAGGTGGGATAAACAGAACATTAAACGAGGTGAAAAATAACTGGATGACAAATTCACTTGCAATTATTTTCATTGGACTGTACAAAATCTGTCTGGTGTCATTTGAAGACAGGATGTGGGAATTGTTGTAGTGTTTCTTTGTGGTTTTTAGTTTCACAGATCCCATTGTATGTTCCTCCCACTCTG